ACGAGAACGCACTCGGCACTGACCAAGTTCTTTTCGCTATGCATTTACCTTTTCCCGTATCACAGTAAAGTCTGAATAAATCATTCGTCTGCACAACGACATGAAGAGGCCGTAGGATGTCTAATCCTGTTAGGGAAGGGGAGCGAGTCAATGACGAGGGCACAGTGGAAGACCTGGCTCCGCCCATTTGACAGGCGTGGAATAGTCTTTTCACCGATTCACAGAAACTTACTTGTTATCGCCGTCCTGAGTACCTTTCCTCACCCATGAGTTTTCGATTTTCCAGTTGGTTTTCAGTTGTGAAACGTCAAGATGTTCTGTAATCCAATGAGTGAGTGCTTCGATTACAAACAGGACGGTAAACCCTGCTTACCGTCCTCATTTTCGAGGTAGTACTTGATGTAGCGTTTGTAAAGCGTGGACTGCAAATTGAAGCAGCAATGCTTGATGTCCTGAAAAAGCAGTATTATTATGAAGAGCTAAATAGGTAGACAAATAAATAAATAATTGGCGCCTGTAATTACCGCAGGACTGAGGAGTGGGAATGAGAACTTCCCGTAGGCACAAAGGGGCCTGATGAAAGGATGAGTCAATTTGAGCCGTACTCAAAGGTCTACGGACCACCTAAATCCAACCCCTTTAGTCGCGTCAATTTTCTGCTTTTTTTCTGCGCCCTCACGTCGTACGACATTCTGTGGGCGCTGTGACCTTCCTTTGCAATTTTTCACGCACGATAAGTGGCTCATCCCGGTGTCTCCTCTTCCGAAGAAGCTCATCCCCTTCGCGGCATATTCTTTGTACTTTTCGATGCCTTGACAGTCCTCCACTTCTCCGCACTTAGGACTTTCGCGTCAATACTCCTACCAAAGTCCCACCTGACCGTACTCAAACGGTACGGCATTACTATTCACATGACGGTAACCTCAATTTCTCAAAAAAGTTCCTTTAAAGAAGCCAAGGCCATCAGCGCCATATGAGCGAACAACTAGGCGGGGGTATTAACTCTATCGGTTCATGCCAAGCTCTCGACTAAGAACCCTGAACCCTAAACTGCTCTAAAAGGATTGCTCGAAGAACAATTCCCTTTAGTTTGCGAAGCAATTCTGATGCGCATTAAGGTGATGTGGCGTCGCTTTACGAGGTACTATTCCATCTCCCATTTTTCGTGGAACCAGATTTTTTGAACTGATTTCAAGGTTCCACTGAATTGAAGAGTGACGTTGTCGCAAAGAGATCAAGGGCAGGTGGATTATGGAGAACAGTTCGGCCCCAAACATTCACCACCGGCGCCATTCCGCACTTCTTTTCCACTACTTACTCCGATTCGAGCAGAAGGCTGTCAAGGTCAAGATGAAGGGGTGCATAACATAGGGGCTATATAAGGACAACGCACTTAGCAAGCAGGTAAACTCCCGCTGTGGGGCGCAGGACAGGTCTTGACGTTTGAGAAAAACTTTATACTAATAATGTAACATAATATAGGACCTTCAGACCTTCCTGCTCCGGTACGACTACCACCATTTTCGTAAATTCTCTTCAACTCTCCACCACTTTTCCGAAGAAATTCTTTCAGTTCTTCCCCTCCCCCTTCCCAACAACAATGGTACGTTTTTTTTCAAAATTAGGTAGGTACAACGCCCTGCCTCTCCACCGATCATATGTGAGCTTCCCCGCTAAGGATCCCAAAGTAAGAGGTGCCAGGTAAGAGTGCGTTTTTGGTAAGGCTCATATAAAGAGGGACAAGGTTATTACTATGACTAGAAGGCAGTCCTTCCAGGCCAAATTCTCCAGGACTTTCTTTAATTTCTAAAAGGGCAAGTGTCCGCCTCTCGAGGAATAGTAGAGGATTTGCTGAAGAAGAGAAGGGAAACTAGTTGGAGAAATGGCCATTAAGCTCCTTGGAAGAAGATATTGAAACTGACTCTAGGGATTCAAGATCGATAGAGCCGTTCAAGCCTAAAACTTCCGTACCGATTTTGTGATCCTCTATAGGTCCTCCCGATGCTAATGCCAAAACGACTCCGGGCGCAGTTGGGCACGATGGGAGCACCTAATAACACTCTGCTGAGCTTGTAGAGCCCCTGAGGAACTGCAGAGTGCTATTACCAAAATGGCTTACTTGCACAATTTTGCAGCTTCACAGGAGTCTACAGGTATCACCAAAGTGTCACCTGTTGTTTATCATGAACTGACAAAACTAGCCAGCAGAGGTTCAGAATGTCCCCTCCAAGCAGAACAGCGTGCACATTCGGAGGTAACTATTTCCTTGGCTATGCATCTCTTTCCTTCCATGGCTATTTTTCCGGGTAGTGGATTTCAGGGATGTCCTTTTGGAACTCTTTATGACCAGCAGTAGTCAGTTGAGGACAACCCTTACTTTTCTCCCTGTCTTTTTACTTTACGAATGTGGATTATTATGATTATTTGGGAGCTCTAAAGTTTTTCAAGAAGGACTAACAAATAAAAGGGAAATCTAGTGCGTTCCTAAGGGGAAGGGGGTCAATGAGATCGTCTAACTATCGTTTTAGATGTAGCTTATTTTCCGGTTCTTCAGGAAGATGAAATTATTTAGGTGTCTGGATCTCCCTGATGTTTTAATAGATTCGAGCGATTTGCAAGTGAAGGATGGCTTGAATAGTTGAAAAGAATGGATCAAAATTGCATGCTAGCCGACCACTTTTTACCATTCCGCCACACGCAAACTACCGCGATTAAAATGAATTAGTCATTAAGTGGCCAGTCTCAAGGGCGGCCATACGGCTAATGTCATTCACAAAAATATCGGTGATGTTTTATGAGTGATAATCAGTGATGGATTGACCGACTCCATGAATCGAACTGGAAATCTTTCTAGAAATCTCAAGGGCTTGGATGCAAAACCATAAGATGGAAATGCTCCTTGGAAGGAGTACAGGGTCTATAAAAGGTCTACAAAAGTTCTACGAAAATACCCGGAAATCACGATCCTGGGCCCCCGTAACTCGACGTTCTATTTTCCCAGAACTCTTCTGCAAATCGCGTTGTGATAGCATTATTCACAGAGCACGTCCTAGAAAAAAATTTGCAAAATACGACCCCGACCCCCCCCCCCCCTGCCACCAAGATTTCCTCCTCTAGTACTACCTGCCATCTTGCTAGCTTTCCAACTCCACTTTTTCTGAAGGTTCCAAAACTTTGAAAATTTTCCGGTTCCCTGCCCCCAAAAAACTGCCCTCGAGCAGGTGGGGGGTAAGGCATCAAAAATCGACTAAACCCAACCATCGAAAAGTCAAAAACCACAAAAATCTCCTCGTGCGCGGAAAACCTTCCCCAAGTCTAGATGCGACCTTTCCCCGTGCTAGGGATTCCCCAGCGCACGACGTGCTCTGACTGTTCAAAGTTCGAACTCGTTTCGTTAAAAAAAGTGGTGGGAATAGTTTGATGGGCTACCGGTTACACACACTGTGAAGGGTGTGCTTGTAAAGTGAAGGGTGCACAGTAAACACTGGAAAGCAAGTAAACCAGTTGAACGTCGTGATGAGAAAAATGTGGGTAAACAGAAGGAATTCATGGAAATTATACAGCTATTCAGCTTTTTATGTTACAATCTCGACATCTGTCGCAAAATCAATAATTTCACTTGATATCAGTAGGAGGAGGCGGAGGTGTTGTAGTGACAAGCGGCGCGCTTACCATCCACACGGTCCTGCTTTCAAATCCCGGGTCGACTCCCGCCCAGGCCAACCAAGCCCTGCACCCCCCCGGGGACTTGCCTGGGAAAATAAGAACACTGACGTGTACATCCGCTGACCCCGGAAGTTATTGTATAGGCCACATTTAATAAGCCACTACGATTCTGAATGGAAGTAGAATGCGTGCCGCATCCCACAAAGGGATTGATCAACGGCGAAGGCTTTATCCCCTTATCCTTTATCAGTGGGTGATGACAGGTTCTTCATCCCCACCTAAGGAAGGGTCTCGGTACGACCCCCTCCCCTTCCCCCTACCACTTTCCCCACATTTTCCACTTTTTCACCCAAAAATTTTCCGTCGAGGGGGGGGGGGTAAATAGCCAAATAGCCGATGTGAAAGAGCAAAATTCTTTGATTTCCCAGTTTCTTGTCAATTTTCCGGACGGAAAGTTCAGGAAAATTTCGAGGATTTCCCTACGTTTACCCAAAAATTTTGCTGTCGAGCGGACGGGGGGGGGAGGGGCTGGGATAATAGGGTGCTATATGGAGCAGGGGTACATAGTAGACATAAAACAAGATAAAACGCGAAAAGCTGGAAAAAATCTTTCTCCCAATGAGGCAAATTTCTCTCAAAGCCACATACGACTCCCGCCTCTGAACAACGACCAAAAACGAACCCCCCCCCCAGCCGAAAAGTACGACCCCTTATGTGTTTCGCACAACGATGCTGTACCCTGTTCGCGATCGCCATGACCAAATCACTCGCGCACGCGTCCGGCAGCTAAACTGTCGCCCGTATGGCCTTTCTTACCCATTTCTATGAGGTCTATTCAGAAAAAGAACGTTTAGGACCACGAATAGGAAAGACACCTAACCTGCCAGCCCCGCGACCCCCCCCCACTCCCCCACTCTCTTTTTGGGTCCAGAGACCTGGCAAACCCAATAAGCGCAGTAAATGCTTGATAAACTCACACTGGGATACTCTGTATAGTCGATTTCGCAGTGAGCTTGAATCCGGAACTCGAGTCTTCCAGTAACATTGCCATTGTTGTTGGAACTGAGTGATTGGAACGTCACATAGTCCGAAGGACTGCTGCCCCGTCTGATGTCTGAAAAATAAATAAATAATGATATATACAAATATCGGATATCAATAAAATAATTAAGTAATAAATACAAATAAATGTTCAGCATTGAGTAACGTTTTGTCAATCCCTTGTCATTTAAGTGGGATTTTATCAGAAAGGGTCGAAGTTCAACATTCCACGGTTATCCTATGGGCGGAGATAGAGGATGGAACGGTACCCGACTGTGTCTCTTTTACTGACGCATCACTCGAACCTAGGGCGGGAGGGGTATCAGTGTGGCAGGGCACATCATTGGTTGGGGATTTTAGTCGAGTCCGTGCAACCCCCCCCCCTTTTTTTCTTCTTAGGGTTGGCTAACGACCACCTCCCGAGTCCTCCGTCCGCTCGCTCATGGAAGTGAGCCGTCCGAGGGCAGGGGTGGAAGATGTATACTACGCGATGAAACAGAAATACAGCGAAAAGATAGCCACACATCTCAACCACTCTAGAACGACCAATAAATACGACCCCCTCCCCCCCTTTACTCAACAACGAGCAAGTGCCAACTCACTCCACTTTACAAGTCAATGTCAAGCGAGAAAAATCAAGTATCAAAATGAATTGTAGCAAATCCGAGCGAACTTCCCCCCCCCCGCTCCTCCCCCTGATAGCGGATTCCCCAAAACAACGATGTGCCCTGCAGTGTGGTCTGTGAATCGATAAGTGGATGAGTGCGAAAAGTATGAATTCTAACCATTATTGCTGGAACCCTAGAGGTCGAGAAGGACTGCAAATTACTTTGGGAGAGGTAGGGAACCAGTAGTACTCTCACAAGCCGTTTCGACTTAGGGAACCAGTAGTACTCTCACAAGCCATTTCGACAATCTTTGAAACCGGAGCTTCAGCTAGACGCCTTTCGCCATGGCAAAGTTGAGGTAAGGTCAGAAACGGAAAGGTACGCAGGAACGGAGTTATATGTGAAAAAAGCAGTAAAGACCAAGGCTTAGACCCCCCCCCTTGATGTAATGCGATAGTGAAGGCCACTTCTACATTACTATTACTGCGGTGGTAAAATAATGTAAGAACGTACTTGTCGGAATTGATGTCCGGCACCCACAGACGTCCAAACGATTTGATACTGAGCGTATCGGTCTTCCATTCAGAAGCATCCCAACGCAGTCGTCGGTCTTTCCATGACTAGAAAAAAAGAATCACAAATTCAACGAAAGCTTATTATTTATTATATTACATAATTATACAATATTGGTTATTATGTTACTCCAGATATACCTCTCCAGCAGACACTTAGTTTGGGGCTGCTATGCGCAAGCCTCTTATATTTCTCACAGTTCTTCCTCTACTGTAGCTACGGGCAGCAATGGCGCCGGAATAACTCCGCAATAGGCGCAATAATGGCTCCGTGAGGTTCGAGTAACTAGCTTTCGGACGTTTTTTGGTGACTGGAGAGAGGACGTGTGGGTAGGGGGTATGGGATGAGACGATGGTGAAAAAAGAACTT